CTGTCATGCATTGTTGGTGGAGTTGTGAAGTGGTCCAGGCACTATGGAAAGCAATTCGGATCTATGCTCAGAAACGTTTAGACTCAGGTATGCCATTACTAGGCTTACACCCCCAAAGAAATTAAAGAAAGAAGAAAAAGGGGCAGCTACGTGGTGCAGTGGATAGAGCACCGACTCTGGAGTCAGGAAGATATGAGTTCAAATCTGGCCTCAGACACTTGACACTTAGTAGCTGTGTGATCCTGGGCAAGCTACTAAACCCCATTGCCTAGCCAAAATGAAGAAAAGGAACTCTACATCCAAAAATATTTTTAGTGTCTCTTTCCTGGTAGCCAAAAAATTGGAAACTAAGAGGTTGGCTGCTTATCGGGAATAGCTAAACAAATGTGACATGTATATAAATGCAATGGAATATAATTGTACCAAGAGGAATGATGAAATGGAAAATTTCAGGAGAAACTGAGAGGACATTTATGAATGAAATAGGCAGAACTAGAACAATTTATATAATGATAGCCTCATTACAGCTAGGCAGCTAGGTGATGCAGTGACTAGAGTGCCAGGTTTGGAATCTGGAAGACCTGGGTTCAAATCCAGCCTCAGACACTTACTAGCTGTGTGACCCAGAGCAAGTCACTTAACTCTGTTGGCCTCAGTTTCCTCATCTGTAAAATCAGCTGGAGAAGGAAATAACAAATCACTCCGGTATCTCTGCCAAGAAAACTCAGGAAGAATTGGTTATGACAGAAAAATGACTAAACAAGAACAAAACATTATAGAGAAAAACAACTTTGAGAGAATTTAGAACTCTGAGTACCGCAATGGCAAATCCCCAGTCCAAAAGAATGCAGATGAAACATTTACCCTCCTGACAGAGAGGTGATGAACTGAGAACGAGATAGACATTTTCAGATATGGCTAATTTGGGAATTTGTTTTCACTGGACTATGTAGATATGTGTTGAGGAATTTGCTTTTCAGTTTTAATTTTTAAAAAATTTGCTCAGTGTATGTTTGTATGTGTGTAAGTGGAAGAGTAATAATAATAATAATAATAAATACCTGCTACTTTAAAAAAAATCATTTCTTTTACATGTACAGCCTGAACTATGTCAATTTGATCTAATTTTTGTTGTTGTGGCTAGGCAATGTAGAGGGCCGATCTTAAGAGTCTGATATGGGTTTAAGATCCAGGGCAGAGTTTGACCTCTGCCCAGGCTTTTACCCAAAAGGGCTCAGTGATTAAGAGCCACGGCTCTCCAATCTCTCCCTGTTAGGAGGTTCCTGAGACGTTCCTTCTCACTCTTTGAACCTTAGATTTACATATTCACTCCTCTATACAGGCGCCAGGAAAAAGCCTTGGAATTTACAACTCTATCTAGGAACTCTGATAAGGAGGAAATGTATGTTATCACATCCTTAGCAGATGTTTCGGGGAGTGTCTCACCGGGAGGACTCCTTGAAGTTAAGATGGATTTTCTCTATACATCCTGTACCCTCAGAAAAATAAACTGAGTCAGTTTTCTGCTCCGCCTGGTCCCACTTCATGTCTTGTTTCATGCCTTTCCATTCAGTGCACTATCTGGTTGCGGGTGACAAGGCAATGGGGTTAAGGGACTTGCCCAGAGTCACATGGCTAGTGAGTATTACGTATCTGAGGCTGGATTTGAACTCAGGTCCTCCTGACTCCATGGCCAGTGATCTATCCACTGTGTCACCTGGCTGCCCCAATTTGGGTTAATTTTAAAATTCAACATGGACTTTACAAAGGTCTTCCATTTTAAAAATCTACCATGAATGAAAAGTCATAGAAATCTACTTTTCATTTAACATTCATTAACAAACATGTACATATCCATCTATGTATATATTTGTATCTATAATACATACATAGATATGTATGTATGTGTGTATATGTAGGAGTCATTAGTACGAAGATGACAGCTAAATCCATGGGAGTTAATAAGGTTACTTAGAATGTAGAGAAGAGAGCCTAGGATTAAACCTTGGACAACCATTTAATATTTAACAAACATTTATTAAATACCAATGATGCTGAAACATGAAACACATGTCTGAAAAACTGAAAATGATTAGCACGGAGAGGGCTTTGTGGTGGGTGTGACCCCGCTGCTCCCAGGTGGCTTTGTGATCTCTTCACTTTCAGGGGCTTCTTCTAACCCTACCCCTAACTAACTCTGCAGACCATGACTCATCCATGCGTGCCCACCCTGTATGACTCTTGTCCATGGTCTCTCTTCAATTAGCTATGTGCCAGAGCTGTCCTATGCCTTCTCCTTACACTGTGGCAACACAGGACAAATGAGCAATTTCAAAGACCATGAGAAGACAGAAATGTCAACAAGGAAATGTATGATGTGAAAATAGGGGCTGGTCACAAGTGGAAGGCAAGGGCTGCTGGGTGCATAGGCTGAGGGCTTCCTTGGTACCTTCATTACTTCATAAGAAACAGATACATGCGCCTCAGCAGACAGGGTGACCCTTTGGCAAACTCCCATCCTGCTCCAACTAATGACCTCCCTGGCTTCCTTTAAGTCCTCACTAAAATTCCACCTCCTACAGAAGAAAGGTTCCCAACTCCTCTTAATTCCCTTTGTTAATTATTTCCTACTTATCCTAGGTATAACCTGTTCGCACATATTTGTTTGCTTGTCTCCCCCACTAGATTGCAAGCTCCTTGAGGGCACAGACTGTCTTTTTGCTTCTTTTGTATCCCTAGGGATCAGCACAGTGCCTGGCACTGAGTAAGTGCCTCATAAATGCTTAATGATTGACTTCTGAGAGCAAAGGGGACAAGAGTTCCACGGGATAGGCAGGTGAAGATAGATTTCAATCTGCAATTCACTTTATCTTGTCCAATCCAAAGGCCACCACGTTGTGTTCTCCTAGCCCTGCTGCCCACACTCCAGCCACCTCTTGGTCTTCCCACTGGAACTCCAGACTCCCACTGCAGAGACCCTGAGCTCTGGTTGGCAATACCTTGTCCTGCCTGACCCCAGGCCCACTGTCACTTCCCTGACATTTCCAAGCCATGCTACCCCAAGCATTGCTCCTCCTCTTCACCCTTCTGAACTAGCGTTGTCTTTCCCTGTTGGATTTTAAGCTCCTGGAGGGAAGGACTGTCTTGCTGGCTTGTTTTCGTGTCCAAGCAGAGTCCAGAACACAGGAAATAATGAATTCGTTTGCATTCATTCAACACTGGAAATTTACTCTTATCCTGTGGCCTCCTCACTCTAGAAAAACACTGCACTTCTGCAATCCCTTCCTCTGATTGGTCAGTTCTTCCCAGAACCTCCATTTTGGGCAGCGCTCAGGTTGGCTCTTTGTTCTTCTCTAGGCTCTCCTGGTTTTCCAGGCAATTTCCACCATGCCCTCCCCTTCCCCCCACCCCTTCCTTTTATGTGTGGCCTTCTCCCCTTAGAATGTATGATACTTAAAGGCAGGAACTTTCTTTCTGCCTGTATCTGTAGGTACATTTTAAACATTTAATGCTCCTTGATTTGATTCATGGTTGGAATCACAATCCATTGGTATTTGGAGTGCCTGGTCAGAGCAGGGCTCTGTGCATACCTTGATTCAAAGGTAAATAGGATAGGCCTTCACTGCAGAGGTGTCCAAGGTGTCTACTTACAGAAAAACCAATTGCATCTCTTCTTCCAATTTTAGAAATTTTGTTTGAAGACTCCTGTTTCTATAGTCACTCTGCTTTTGTTTATCAGCCTGGGTTCATCCCATCCCTCCTTGGCCCTCCCTCTCAAACCACATTATTTTAAATTCCTCCTCTGCCCCACCAAGGCTTACTCTCTCCCCCAGCTTAGCCAAGCTCTCTGGTGTCGTTCCAAATGACCCCCAAATTTGGTTCATTACCAAAATGAATCCCAGAACAGAAGGGGGCACCCAAAGGAGTCCAGGATTCATTATCTTTAGAGCTGAAATTGTACTTTTGTGTAATGAGTGAATGCTTTTTCCACTTAAGATAAATACATTTTCCCTTGAATAAGATGAGTTGGTCTGATTAGACAAGGGCCTATTTCAACCTAGCATTTTTAGTCAACAGATCTGGATCTGACAGGAGCAAGCTGCCTGATCACAGGATCGGGGTGGCCCCAGACAGGGCCTCCTGCTACTGAGGATCATCTCAGCATTGTGTGCGGTGAAGCTGCGGAAGGCATTGGGCCTCTCTGCTTTGAGGCCAAACACTAGGGCCCCGCCAGGATGAAAAAAGCACCTCTACTTTAAACGTAAACATTAACCAAAACTGATCTAAATTCCAGGCGTGTCTGCAAGGGTGGCCTTCCCAGACATTTCAGGTTCCCTCCTGGTGTCATGAAGGGCAGCTCATGGAGTGGTCCAGGAGTCACTCAGTAAGGTAGATTCCAGAAAGCACTGCCTCTTGAGAGAGGAATCAAACGAAGGGTGCTCAAATCTTGGGTCAAGTGTTGGGAGCCCGGGCTCTCAACTTCTCCTGGCACCAGGATGTATCTATTCTGCCTTTTCTGGTACAGCGCATCCTCTGTGGTGGCTAGGTGGTATAGTGGATAAAGCATTAGACTTGAGGCAGGAAGACTTTAGTTCAAACCCTGCCTCAGATTCCTAGCTATAAGACCCTGTGCAAGTCATTGACCCTTTCCCACTCATTTTTCTTATCCACAGAACATATTATAACTGACTGTTGTGAGGCCCAAAGGAGATAATATATTTGAAGTGTTTTGAAAACCTTAAGGTGCCACATAAATGCTAACTCATTGTTATCAATGGCCAGGAATGGCAGCCCGTTGGTAGGGGAACTTGGTCAGGTCTTTCAGTGGAGTCCAGGGGCCTTCTTCACAAGCTGGGTGACTGCCTCTCTCAGTAACAGGTCCTTATCCCGCCTCCCCCCTCCCCCCATGCACAACCTGCCTCTGAAGGGGGGTTTCTTCTCATTCATTCTAGCATGCCTTCCAGGCTGAACTTAAAAGTCACACACCCCATAGCACAGGCTCTTCCAAAAAATAAGTTTTTATTGTTTTGGCTGCAAATATATAAAAAAAATGCATTGTAGTGTTGAATACAGCTGGTGGAAATGTGCTTTTGGACAGCAGAACAATGGAGGGGGTGATGTAGGCGCAGGACTGCTTCCACATAGAGACACAGAGACGGAAAGCTTTACATTTTCTGAGGTTCTATCCCAAAACAAATTTGTTTACTGAAATGAAACCTAAAACAAATAACAAACAAAACTCACAATAAAACCATGTACGCAACAAACTAAAACCAGAAAAGTGACAGTATATCACAACTGTGGTGTTACAGTAAAAGCCACTGAATTCACTTTTCCTTTTGTTGAAGAGCTACTCAGAAATGTAAAAAAAAATCATCAATCTGGGGAGGTCCCAAGCGGCCTGCCTCACAATCACCGCCCCAGGCCAGGAACCTGTCTCACTGCTGACAGCTGTTGGTTCACCCTGGTTTATTAGTTGAATGCGAACTATTGGTATACATGACCCAGGTTCAGATTCTGGGTCTGGCACTTACTGTGTGGCTCTGGGTAAGTCACTTAATCTCCGTGGGCCTCAGTTTCCTTAACTGTTAAATGAGGCTGGAGTAGAAGGCCTCTGAGGTCCTTTTCAGCTCTAGAGCTATAGTCTTAAGATTGAAATATTTAAAACTTCAGCTTCTCCTAAACCCCTTAAATCTTTCTTCCAGAGACATCTTAACCTCTACTTAAAAAACAAAACAAAACAAACAACCCAGAGAAGAATGTTTTAAAATTTCTCATGCTCTGATTTCAGACGCACTGATCCAAGAGGAAGATGCAATGAGGGAAGGAACTAAATGTTGAGTATGGTGACCATGAAGAGAGGTGAGAGTCACACAAAAATAAAATCCCATGCAGGTAAACTACACAAAAACAAAAAAGGAAACATTCATGACAACATTTTCCCTTTTCCCCCAAGTTGATTTTCATAAGCACCAGCAAGAGTTCCATTTGGTAAGAGCTAGGAAGGCAGGCCCCTCCACAGTCTGAGTCTACCTTCACCCCACCCCACCCCACCCCAGGCCAGCTGTAAACGGGCCTACAGGCCATGGGCTTTGGGGGCTCCCGGCCAGGACCTTGACACACTTCACATGGGCCCTGTGGCTTATCCAATACTTCAAATACACAGCCAGATCTCCTCTTCCATTCTTTGGGATAAGGTTAAAAACCCTACCCAATTAACTGGAATGATGAACCAATGCCACAGTGAAGATCCTTCCCTCTCCAAAATCAGGCTTTGCCCCCAAGGCTTCCATTTCCTCATCTGTAAATGGGGCTAATACTTGCTGTGTCTTTCCTACAGGGCTACTATGAGGATGAAATGAGATCACAGAGGTGAAGGTGCTGGATTGTTACATATACTGCTTTTCCCCACAGCCCTGCTGGAAGGCCCCCGGGGAAAGGAGCTCTCCCTAACAGAAAAGTGCAGGCGTTTTTCTGTACACACAAAGGAACCAAGAGCTTTTCAGGACTCTGAGCGCTCTGATGTTGTGCCACCCAAAGAGAGGTAGTTAATTAGCATTGCCCTCTGTTCTGCCAGTGGGTGTACACTCACGCTGGTGCTTCTTTTAACCCACCTGTCTTGGTGGCACATGAGATATCAAATAACTGAGACCAGAAAGACCAGGAGTAGTGAGACAGCCAGTTTCACACCTGTCTCTTCGCCTGCTCTAGACCTAGAAAAGGATTTGGCTGACAAGGCAACGGCTCTACAAACACTGATCCGTCTTTTTGACTTTCCAGATACAGAGCTGGGCTTTAGTCACATGGAAGAAGTTTGGCTGGACAAAGGTTAACACCCAAAGACAGGAGATTAAACAGAAGTCTGGCATCCCTGAATTGTGTTCCTTAGTTATCTCCACCCTGGTTTCAGTCCTGCCCCCTGCTTCCCCTAGGGAAAGAGGTAGGAAAGACCTGGAGGTAAAGAGCCATCACCACCCAAGTTGTGTCAGCCTTAGAAGAGCACGATGCTTTCTGTTACCACGGCTACCACAGGCCCCTTTCACTCCCTACATCCCCCCAGGGGTACCATCAGTTGGACTTTCCTGCGTCCAACAAGTTGTTTTCTAGGTTGGTACCATCAGAGAACACGGGCAGATTTCAGGACAACATTTAGGCCAGTCTCCTTCTGGAGCCCACCTACAAGTGTTGGGTATCTGGGCAAAGACCAGTCTTGACCACTTCCAAAAGGGTATCCAGAAACAGCTACATCACTGGTCTGAGAAGGGAGAAAACGGATGTGGTCTCCAGAGGAGTGATGAGATGGAAGGAGATAAGCAGAGCCGTCCCACACAGGACTGACAATTCCCTACATCCCAGCTCGGGCTCTGGTGAGCACTGGACATATTTGGCACCCTTGGGCATTCTTCTTCTCAAGTCTTCCTTATTTTCTTTCACTCCTCTCTACCCACTGGCCTTCTATCAGGGAAATTCTCTTTTCATGAACATTATTTGTGCTGTGGAAAACAGCAACCCAGTCACCATCCTGCAGCATGATGGAGGCGACAAAACATCATTTAGATTATGTAAACCCATGTGGAAGGGATGTGGGAGGGGGTTGTGTTGGGAGAGGGCGGTGGGGAGTACACAGAGTGCTCAGAAAACCCCACTGGGCGCCTGCTTCAGCGACAATGTCTTCACACTTCCGATGCTCAACATGAAACAAGAACTGATAATGCAGATTAAAGAGATGGTGTTAGAAATTCTGAGATTTGTTTGGCAGAAGGGAGTTTTCTGAGCTGATTTTTTTTCCCTCAAAAGACTCAGCTGTTTCTTTAGGAAGAGGGAAAAGAAAGGGGGAAAGTGAGTGTAAACAAATCCAGATAGAAGGTCAGAGTTGCTTTCTGTCCATTTTCCTGGGCAGCTGGCTAAAATATCCCCAGATTCCCCCCAAACCTCGCTCTGAAGCAGATCAAAGCTCTAGAACTTCCCAAGCATTCCCTGCCCTGCAAGTTGGTAAGAGGAGACAAAGTCTGGCCCAACCAGAGGTGTTCTTCAAAGAGGAAAACCTCAGGGACCATGACTTGTGAAGCCCAGGGAGAACTCTGCTTCCCAATCACCGTGGTTAAGTCTTGAGCACCAGGATAAATGGATTTAAGTAAATGGGTAAACAATGAAAACATGCATGTCATTACACAATCTGTGAGTATTCACATATACATATACTTCATGAAATCTAACCTAACCTACTTACTGCCTTAAATATTTCAAAAACACTGATTTAGCAGAAAGGAAAGGCAGGTCAGAAAAGCAAGAGGCCAATTTCACATTCTGAGAAGGCTGAAAGTCTGCTCGTGCCCCTTTCCCTCTCCCCTCCCCCAACTTATGGAGTGCTCCTGGTGCTGCTCTAGAGCTAAGGCAGAGAAGGGCTGCAGGCCAGAGCACAGTGGGCTGGAGGGAGCTAAGCCAAGGCCATGATCCTTTTCACCACTCGCTTTCTGCTGCCCCGATGCCCGAGGAGGGTTCCTTTTCACTCTGGGTAGCTAGTGCTAGGCTGGGAGGTGACAACTTCAAGGAGCACTCGAACCTCACTTCTGCGTGCAGGCACGATGAAATCTGGAAAGTGGGCGGCCCAATTCCCTTACGATCCCCTGCTGACCTGAATTCACGTTCTCAGAGTCTGAGAATGGGCATGACCCATGACCCGGGTCTGAGGGGTAAGCCTTCTGTGAGCATGCTAGGCCTCAGCTCTCTGAGAACAGAAGCCACCTTTCAGGAAAGCCCCCCCCCCTCAGTCCCGTGTCTCTGTCTCTCTCTGTCTCTCCCCTACAGCTCCCTCCCCGCCCGCCTCCCTGCACCTTCCTAGATTCCAGACTGAAGGGGGGTAACTCCCCAAGGACTTTGTGCTGTTGCTGCGATCTGCTCTACAGGTTCCCAATCAGGCAGCCGGCCCAAAGAGGGCTCCTTCCTCCGCCTGGAGTGGGATGCCCAGACTACTTTCTATGCAAACCAGGCCCCAAAGTGGTGGAAATAAAATGTCCTCTCAGCTCTACCAATGTTCCAATGGAAATGTGGATGAGAGAAGGGGCTGACGGCCATGGGCTTGCAAGACCACCCAGAACTTGTGGAGATTAGCTCTGCGCTGAGCAGTCTCACAAGGAATACTCGCTGCCTGGGGTCGGGGTGGGGGGAGAGACGACAAGCAGCAGTGAGGATGGAGAGGAAGCAGCCTCTCACCTATCACCTTCCTGAGAGAATTACAGCCAGGTGGTTCTGGCATGTTTTAAAAAGGGGAGCAACAGGGCACTTTCCCAGGGGCTGTGAAATTCATTTTTATTTCCACTTTTCTAGCCAGAAGGAGGGTGCAGCAGGGGCCCCAGGTGAGAAAGGCAGTGGCTTTCACCCCTGGAGTAAAGCTCCAAGCCGACAGCTGCCATGTGGAAGCGCCTAGACGGGGGGCAACCAATGAGGAAGCCAGCTTCTGCATCTGATGCATTTCCAATCCTTTCAGTTCCAACGAGGGCTTTTCTCTGCACTCAAAAAGATCCAATCTACCAACCTGGGCTAGTTCACTTGCACGTGGGCCAATTCCTACATGTGGGACCGAACACACATGTAAAGTAACTGAAACAGTTCATCATTAATGGACAAGGAAAGTACCTCTGACCTTCCTTTCCTAGGCCCTCCCCTCCACTCACATCAGGTACTTAGAATTCTCTCCTGATCCAGGAGGCTGAGATGCCTCCACAGAACAATCCAGTATAAGAATCTCTAGTTCCCACAACCTCAGTCACCTGAACAGTGGACCAGACAGGTTCCCTTTCCTCAGACTTTGCTCACAAGAATTTCTTTGGTCCGAAAATCTAGGACTTAGAGCTTTCAGAAGATGACTCCTGGCTAGAGGCCAGGCTGAGAATGAAGACAACTGCAATTATCCATAACCTGGCTTTTCCAATGCTAAACTTAAGACCAGTGGCATCTTACTGAAACAAACTTTTATAGGATGCTCTCAAATGCTCCCCTTTGTAAGTACAGCTCGGAAGCTGAGGGAGGGAAAGCCAGGGTCCTAGCTGCCAGGTGAGGGTAAGCCCCAGCGCCCATGATGCTACATAAGTCACCAGACGGCATGATTCCTCTCCGTTTTCCAGATTGGCGCAGCAGCTTTTCACGTCTTGTACATACATGTCCCTCAGTTCTTGAGGCTGGCTGAGCGTTCCCTAGAAAGGCACTCCCTCCCCCCAACTCCCCACCGGCAGCTGACGCCATGCAGTAAAAAACAGGTGCCCTGCAGCAGTAGCCACCTGCACAGAAGAAGTTGAAGTGTATTTACAAGTTACAGGTGCATGTCAAAGTCGCTACCTTGGTGTCGCAGGCAGGAATACATCTTCCAAATGCTACATCAGGAGAGGTGGAGTCAGAGGAGAGATGCCTTCCTTACCACCATAAACCAAGTAAGAAGAGAGAAAAACCAAGCCCCAAGTCTGGAAATGGGGGCGGGTGCTTGGAGATTTTAACCAGCCCAAGGACGGAGCATCCCTTCCTTTGCCCTCAGCTCCTGCAGGAGCCATCAGCCTTCCAGAAAAGCCGGTCTGGAGTGAAGCAGGGTCAGCAGCAAGGCCAAGGTCCATCAAGAACAAACACTTCCCTTTTTCTGGACCGGCTCTCACCGTCTGAATCCCAGGGAGAGTGACGTTTGAGGTCACTAAGCACAGGAACTCGACCACACAGTGTTTCAGCAGATGGGCTATTGCTGTCGGCAGGACCCGCACCTGCTACAAACCTGAGCTGGGTATTTCTGCTGACACTGCACATCTTTATCAGAGGGAAGCCCTAAGGGATGCAGTGAAGCTGGACTTTGGGAGAAGCCAAGGACCCTGGCTCTTGAGCCAGCTAGCCTCAACATAGGGAGGGATCCCTGAGCTAACGGTGGAGGCCATGTGCTCAAGGCTGCTGGGACTCCCCTGTCCTCTTGCCAATTCCGGTGACAGCCTCAGATGCTTGCTCCGGTAACCGCGATGGGTCCGTGAGGATGGAGGTTGTCGTGCTCAACTGGCGGAGGGTGAGCAAAACCACTAGGAGAGAAGAGGGGACCACAAGGAGGCGGGGAATTAGCTGGCTCAGTGACATAATACTTACCTTTTCTCTCTCAGCACCTGTACCTATCCTGGAAAGGCTCCCCTCCCAGGCTGGGGTCAGGTGACACCTGGACTCTCCATTCCCTCGAGCATAAACTAAACCCACACTCACTTGGCCTGAGAACAGGGAGGGAGCAGTGCTGGTCCAGCCACGAGAGGGCGCTCTGATGGAGCTCATGCAAGCTGGTGGTTGACACCATGCCCTTGAATGACTCAAACAACGGTTTGATTATAATGCTGAACTGCCCGGCACACGGTTAAGGGAAAAATGAGGATGAAGAAGGCTGAAGAGACCATCCATCGCCCCTCCTCCCAACTCCTGGCACGCCAGCAAACACTATGCAAGAGAGGGTTAGAGAGGACGTGGGTTTGGGACCCAGAACCGGAAGGGGCCTGAGAGCTCATCTAGTCCTGAACCCCTCATTTTACTTATTAATTTTTCGGGGCAAGGCAACGGGATTAAGTGACTTGCCCGGGTCACACAGCTAGTAGTAGGTGTCAAGTGTCTGAGGCTGGACTTGAACTCAGGTCCTCCTGGTTCCAGTGCTGGTGATCTAGTCACTGTGCCACCTAGCTGCCCTCAGCCCCTCATTTTAAAGCTGAAAAAAATCGAGACCCGGAGAGATGAAACGACTTGCCTTAGGAAGTGGCAGAAACGAGATTTGAAATCATGCCCCCCAGCTCCAAGTGCAGTATCTGTAGCTCAGGGCTCACCCCACTGAACCACACTGCCTTCTATGTAAACAAAGCCAATGTCTGACCAAAACACCTTCCTCCACCTGGCTTCTCTGCATCTCAGATTCTGTAACTGATGGGCAGAAGCCACCAAATTGATTCGGGGTCGTTCTCGGCACAGATCAAATAATAAAGAATGCTCCTTCTCTGCTGGTACTTTGCCCATTGGCTACAAAATAGAGGCTCCAGTCTTCCTTTCCCTAAAACAGAAGCCTTTCCCTTGATCCTGCCAGCATCCTGTCTCCCCGCCCTCTTTAACTGCTACATTTCTAGAGTCTGCTACACCCTCTGCCTCCACTGCTTTACACCTTGCAGCACGGCTTCAAACTCCACCACTCTACTACAACCGGCTTCTAGGTCACCAGACTCCTCTTCCTTGCCAAATTCAGTGACTTTTTCTCACTCGCTGTTCCTGACCTTCCCACTGCATCTGAATGTTGACCATTCCCTCCTTTTGGATACTCTCTCCTCCCTAAGTTTTCTAAGATACCACTCTCTCACCTGGTTCTCTTCTCTACGTAACCACAAATCCTTAGTCTCCTTCACTCATTATCTTTGTCCTGTCCCCTAAATGTGAGTAGCCTTGAAGACTCTTTTCCTGGGTCCTTCTCTTCTTCTTTTTCAACATTCTTTCCATTACCACTTAATTCATTGCTATGGAACTAATTATGACCTCTCTGCAGGTGACACTCGAATTCATAAATGTAGTCTCAATCTCCTCCCTCAACTCCAGTCCTCCATCTCCAAATGATGGCTGAATACCTCGACCTAGATGCCTACTGACATTTTAGCGGCTAGGTCTGACAGGTTCTTTATCCTGAGTCATTCTCGCACTCCTGATGCCACTGGCACCTTAGTTCGGATACTCGTCATCTTCCCAGCGTCTCTTGCAATAGCCTAATCGGCCTCTCTCACCTCTCCCCCTAGAATCCCTCTTTAATCCGGCTGCCAAAGAAAGCCTCATGATGACGTCACGATCTTGCTCAAAAACACTAAGGAGACGCCGCCCCCCCCATCACAAAGGGTGTGCTGTGTCTCAGCAGCCACGTCCAATCCACATCAGAAAGACAGAGCCCACAACATCTCTCCAGCCTCTCCTCAGCTGTTTGCAGACCGCCTCCCCATTCCACGATGAGCTGTTTGAGAGCAGGGACTGTTTTCTGCCTTGCCTCTTTGCCTCCTCAGTACTCGGCATACAGGAGGTACTTAATAAATGCTTTTTGATAGACTTTGCTTAAAGACTTCCAATGGGGGGGGAGGACTCACTACCCCCACAGTGATAACTACTTCCCTGATGTGCCCAGCTTAAAATGAATCTTTCCTACCTTAAATTTACCCCAAGAACTTAATCTGGATCGATTCTATGACACATTACTTTGAATGATACCCATTAGAATATATAGCATGTCATCTTCTATTTGATATAAACTTGAGGGCAGGGATTACAACACTTTTTTTTTTAAATTAGGCACTGTATGTATACATATATATATATATATATATATATATATATATATATATATATATAATATATATACACACACACACACACAGATTTGCTGATCTGACTTGAGGTAGAGCAGTTAAAACTTACAGGGACACCTGTCCAACAGAGCGACTTCTATCTCCGACACAAGATCCACACGGGGCCCTCATATCTGTGACACTGCATAACTAACTCTGGGTGACCACTACAGAATGTAAGGTCTGTGAGGGGAGGGCTGTCTTTTCCAACACAAGTAGTCAGTCTAAAGAAATGCAGACTGTTAGGTATGCAGCATGTGCTGTTCTACTAAGCAGAATACTGACTCATTCTGATTGCTTGATGACTAAAACAACAGTACATGGCACCCCACGAATAAGCCAAAGTGAACTGAAGCACTGAAACTAAAGTCAGTACTTATCTGTTCTTTCAAACTGCCTTATGAGTATAACTTGCCACCACACAGATGGGTCCTGATTAAGCCTCTCAGGAGGCCTATCACTTCAGAGGATCGGCACCCAAACCACTGATAAGGCAGCTCGCTGAGCGTTCTGCAGATGTCTTAGAGGCAGAACCGAAGCGGCCTGGAGACGTCTGGCGGCCCCAGGCCACCATCTGTGCTTCCCAGTCATCGCCCTCTACCCTGGCCCCAGCTCTCTAGCCAAGCCTCATGGTCCTGATGACCAGCACAGGGTTCGTGTTTCACTGGCTCGCCCGCCCAGAGCAGCATTCAGCCTATGGACCCAGACACCTCCCCTTGCTGCCGCTGTCTGCTCATGCACCTCCAAATGACAGAAGTGGACTAGATGGTCCCTGGGAGTTCTAAGTCCTATGATCCTCTGAGCTGAACCCCATGAGGGTCAAGAGCCTTCACTACCGATGACTTCAGACTAATCCCCATCACTGGAACAAGGAACCTGAGGACTGTCTCACCAAATCCCAGGCAAGGCCACCACACTCTGTCACATGGGGACAGTGGAGTTAATGATCTCGATAAGCTCAATGAAAACTCAAAGACAGCAAACAATTCTTGGGGATGCTTCTCAAGGAAATGAAGTGTTATCTTCCCGTGATTTTCCCCACCCTGGGAGACTCTGACTGGGCCCAGGATGAAAACAAAAGATACAATCCAGAACTTCCAATTCTGTAGGGTGCGACTTTTTACATAATCATCAAACATGTCCCGCATGTGATCGTACTGGCGGCGAGTAACAGGGACTCCTGTGGCAGGGAGCTGCTGCTGACAGGAGCTGAAATGACAAGGCCAGAAACATGATGAATAATTCTGAGCAGGACCCCCGAGCTCAGGCATCCTCCCACTTTCCAATGGTTGAGATCCTGTAGGGAAATGCTGCCAGGCCCCACCACGCCTGGAGTCTCACATGATGGTGGCATTGAGCTCCTCGATCTCCTCTCGAAGGCGCCGGGCTTCCTCCTGCATCTGGCTCCTCTCCTGCTGAAGCTTGGCAATGTACTCTACCGTCTTCTGCAGGGTGATGGCATGGCTGGTCTGCAAAAGGGAAAATTCAGCCCTACAGCGAGCCCAGGGACAGAGGCAAGGGTGAAAGGCTCCCTCCTGTCCATGCTTCCAAGGGCCACCCCTATATTCCCAGCCAACTCACCAGCTTGCAGTTGTTGGAGATCAAACTGTTTAAGGTTCCAAAGCCAATCTTAATGTTGAACCGTCTCTTCTGTTCAGCTGAAATGTGCTTCATCCTCCGGCTCTGAGTGAGGAAGCAAATGCATCACACCTGGCCATACCGGGCCCCCTCTGGGTCATAACCTGTACTTACTGCTTCATATTTTAATGTGATCAACCCTACATAGAAGTTAGTTGCACATGTTAACCCAAGCCTCCTGCAGGCCCTTGGCTGGTAATAATATTGCATTTGGGAGGGAGATTAGGAAAAAATCCAACCCACTGAAGTCATGAGGAAGCCAGGATTCATTTTTATAAACACTGCAACAGAGCAGAAGAGACCAGAATTGTTGGGGTCTAAGTCTTCTCTGACTCTTACCAAAAGATACAATCCTCAGCAAATGTCATCTTACTGCTCATAAAACAGATGGGGCGGTTCTGAAGCCTCAACTGACAAACCTTGAGTAAGTGTTTACTATGTGCCAGGTACTGTGCTAAAGCACTGTGAATGCAAAGAGAGGCAATAATGTGGCCTTGGCTCTCAAGGAGTTCATGTCCTTAAAGGCGAGATAACAGGAACAATTATGCACAGGGTGGATGGGAGGCAAAGCTGGCATGAAGACACTAATGGATTTGGGGGGGGAGGGGGCGCGGCACGGCTGAGAAAGGCTCTTGCAGAAAGTGGGATGCACTGAGTCCTGAAGGAAGCCAGGAGGCAAAGGTGAGGAGTGAGAACATTACAAGCATCAGAGAGAGCCAGATGGAGTGTTAAATGTAAGAACAGCAAGGCGGCCAGCGCTGGCGAGCTGTAGAATATGTGGAGTGACATCAAGCATCAGAAGACTGGACGGGGAAGAAGGGAGGACTGTCCCTGGAGCCACCAAGGCTTAGAGAGTCGGGGTAACAGTCAGGCCTGCCCGTCACCACCAGTGAAATGTGTGCTGGAGAACCTTCTAACAGTAGCTGGTAGAGGTCCGCTCAGAGGTCTTTCTGACAGATGAAAGAGGACGACACAGGGAAGCTAGGATGGTTTAGCTCTCAATGCTTGCTAAGGCTGGCCTAGCTCCCCTCCCTAGTCTAGCCTCAGGGTGTGGAGGCAGGACACACAGGTGGCCTCGCTGCTTTCTCCCTTCCACCATCTCCAAAGGGACCCCAAACCAGAGAACGAGATACCTTGAACGCAGCCACATTTGGGGGGTCTGTAGTGGATTTCCCTGAGCAGTTCTGGGGAGACTGAGGACTGGGACTTTGTTCTGATGCACAAGGAGAGGCCTGACCAGAGTTCGGACAGTCTCGGCCTGAAAAGAAAGAATACAAACTCCTCTTAGAAATGGAACCCGATATACTGGCCCAACCATTCTGGAGAGCAATTTGGAACTATGTCCAAAAGACTATGAAACCATGCATGTTCTTTGACCAAATAACACCACGGTTAGGTCAGTAACCCAAAGAGACAGAAAACAAAAAAGAAAAGGACCTATATGTACAAAAATACCTATAGCAGCTATTTTTGTGGTGGCAAAGAATTGGAAATTGAGGGGGACGCCCATCAATTGGGAACAAGTTGTTGTATATAATTGTGATAGGACACTATTGTGCTATAAGAAATGATGAGCAGGCAGATTTCAGAAAAACTTGGAAAGACTTACACAAACTGAGGCAAAGTGAAATGAGCAGAATCAGAAGACCACTGAATACAGTGCCAGCAATACCGTACTATGACCAACTGTGAATGACTGAGTTCTCAGCAATACCAAAATGCAAGACAGTTCTGAAACACTGATGATGAAAAATGCGAACTGACGGAATCCGAATGCAGACTGAAGCACACTTGTTCTTAATGTTTCTTTTTTCTGGTCTGTGTCTTCTTTCACAATATGACAAACATGCAAACATGTCTTACGTGACTGGATACGTGTAACCTATATCAAACTGCATGCCTTCTCAATGAGAAGGGAAGGAAGAAGAGAATTTGGAACTCAAAAAAAATGTTAAATGACTGTTAAAAATTGTTTTTACATGTAATTGAGGGAAAATAAAATATTGAATTTAAATTTAAAAAAATGCAAGACTGTCTTATGAGGAAAAAAAAAAGAAACGGAACTCAAACAGTTCAGCAAACAGTGAATGAAAGGGCTCTCTACCCACTACCATAAAGGTTCCAAGACTCCAAATAAATCAAACATTTACAATAACTTTAACAGCATAAGATCTGTCAATTCATGAAGATTCTACCTTCCTCTCAATCAGAGACTGAAGAATACTAAAGGTATGGAGTCCTACTTGATGAAAAAATGGTTTCCAATGGGCCCAGAATAAGGCCTGCCTTCACATAAATTCAGTCTGAACCCTAGCTCTGACAATCCAAGTAACAGCTAACATTTATGTATCACTTATGGTCATAAAGCAACACACAGACACTGTCTCATTTAGTGCAACGATATCCTTGAGAGGGAGTAACTATTGGTCTTTAGGAACAATCTAGGTTCCCCAGATCCTTTAATTACACTTGTCTACAATGAAATCCATGTGCAACAAACATTCTTGCCCCGTTTTTACAACCTTGAGAACTTTCTACAGTTTGATCTTATCAGTTTGGCATTTTGCTAATCTAAGAGTCCCATTAGGTACAAACACAAATATAAGGAATTAAAGTCTTGGTCAGGGACAGAGTGTGCCAACGCTGGTAAAAAACCAAAACCAAAAACAAAAAACCCCATATATTTTCCTGGAGTTTTGCAAATTAGTTAAGAGAGCTTTAAACGGAAAAGGAATGAAGGAGAGAAGAACATACATGTATGCACTTACACATATATATGTCCACAGAGCTAAATTTCACAGAGAGAAAAAGACCAGAGCTGAGCTTGCTGAGGGGGCAGAGCCAAGATGGCAGAGTGAAAGCAGTGACTTGCTTGAGCTCTCCCCCAAACCCCTCCAAATACCTATAAAAAATGGCTCTAAACAAATTCTAAAGCAGCAGAATCCACAAAAAAATCAGAGTGAAGCAAATTTCCAGCCCAAGACAACCTGGATGATTGATCAGAAAGGTATATCGCGACGGGCAGGGAAAGGAGCACAGCTCGGCATGGGCATGCAGGCTGCAGAGAACCTGGAGCAGGCTCAGAGGACTGAATCGCAGGCAGCTGTGGTGGTTTCCAGACTGCTCAACCCACAAAAGCCAAAGACAACTTAGAAGGTCAGTGGGAAAAGTCTGTTTCAGCAGTGCTGAGAGAGAAGACAGGTGGTCTCAGCTCCATTCCCCAAGCACAGTCCGGGGCAGGGGCTGCCTCCTGAGCTTCCGGCCCACAGACTGAGGGGGAATCGGATGGCTGATTAGAGGGGGATCTCTGTGCCATTTCTGAGGAAGGAATCTCTTGCTTTGCCTGTGCTTGGATATGGGTCACTGTTCTGGGTGGTGGTGTCTCGGGTGAGGAGGAGCGCTGGTGTGGTGGAGCTTGTAGTGGCTGTACAGAGAAAACCCTCCTCACAAGTTCCAGGACAGAAAGGAGTGCTGTGGTCACTAACACACCAGAGCACAGGCCAGGAAAGGAGTAAACACCTCACCGCTCATCATACCACCTTGGAAGAACTGAAAATTTACAGGTCCCTACAAGTATCTCTGAAAACAGCTGTACAAACCCCCGAAGCTTAGGACAGTATATTCTCCACATTGGAAGCAGACTCTTAATCTTAACAAAGAGTTTAAAACTCAAGTAACCTGGCCGAGATCATGAGCAAGCAGCGCAAAAAGAGTCAGACTATATTATCTTACTTTGGTGACAAAGAAGATCAAAATATACAACCAGGAGAAGACAACAAAGTCAAAGCTCCTACATCCAAAGTCTCCAAGAAAAATATGAATCAGTCCCAGGCCTTGGAAGAGCTCTAAAGGGATTTTGAGAAGCAAGTAAGAGAAGTAGAGGAAAAACTGGGAAGAGAAATGAGAGTGATGCAAGAAAATCATGAAAAAAGTCAACAGCTTGCTAAAGGAGACCCAAAAAATACTGAAGAAAATAACACCTTAAAAAATAGCCTAACCCAAATGGCAAAAGAGGTCCAAAAAGCCAATGAGGAGAATGCCCTAAAAAGAAAATTGGCCAAATGGAAAAGGAAGTCCAAAAGATTACTGAAGAAAATACTTCCTTAAAAATTAGAATAGAGCAATTGGAAGCTAGTGACTTTATGAGAAATCAAGACACTGTAAAACAAATCCAAGAATGAAAAATAGAAACAATGTGAAATATCTCACTGGAAAAACAACTGACCTGGAAAATAGATCCAGGAGAGAGAACTTAAAAATTATTGGACTATCTGAAAGCCATGATCAAAAAAAGAGCCTAGACATCATCTTTCGAGAAATTATCAAGGAAAACTGCCCTGATATTTTAGAACCAGAGGACAAAATAGAAATTGAAAGAATCCACTAATCTTCTGAAAGAGATCCCCTAAGGAAAGCTCCTAGGAATATTGTAGCCAAATTCCAGAGTTCTCAGGTCAAGGAGAAAATATTACAAGCTGACAGAAAGAAACAATTCAAGTATTGTGGAAACACAATCAGGATAACCCAAGATTTAGCAGCTTCTACATTAAAGGACCGCAGGGCAAAGAATATAATATTCGCGAGGGCAAAGGAGATAGGATTACAACCAAGAATCACCTACCCAGCAGATAGGATTACAACCCAGCAAAACTGAGTATAATCCTTCAGGATAGGATTACAACCCAGCAAAACTGAGTATAATCCTTCAGGGGAAAAAATGGTCATTCAGTGAAATAGAGGACTTTCAAGCATTCTTGATGAAAAGACCAGAGCTGAATGGAAAATTTGACTTTCAAAGACTCAAGTGGAACATGAAGAGGTAAATAGGAAAGAGAAATCATAAGAGACTTATTATTAAGGTTGAACTGTTTACATTCCTGCATAGAAAGATGATTATTTATAACTCATGAGACCTTTGTCAGTATTAGGGTAGTTGGAGGGAAAAAATTATATTTATGTATATAGATAGATAGACAGATAGAGGGCACGGGATGAGTTGAAGATTAAGGGGTCATATCTGGAGAATAAAATTAAGGGATGAGAGAGGATTGTACTAGGAGAAGAAGAAAGGGAGAGGTAGAATGGGGTAAATTATCTCACAAAAAAAAAGAAAAAAGAAAAGGCTCTTACAGTGGAGGCAAAACAGGGGAAGGTGAGAGGGAATGAGTGAATCTTATTCTCATAGGATTTGGCTTAAGGAGGGAATAACACACACATTCAATTGGGTATGGAAATCTGTCTTACCCTACAGGAAAACAGGGGGAGAAGGGGGCAAGAGAGCAGGGGGATGACAGAGAGGAGGGCAGATTGGGAAAGGGGGTAATCAGAAACAAATACTTCTGAGGAGGGACAGGGTCAAAACAAAGAACAGAATAAATTGGGGGAAGGTGGCGGGATAGGATTAAAGGAAATAAGAGTTACTTTTTCACAACATGACTAGCATGTTTTGCATAACTGCACAAGTATAACTCGTATTGAGTTTATTGCCTTTTCAATGAGGGTGGGTGGGGAGGGAGGAAGGGAGAAAATTTGGAACGCAAAGTTTTAAAAACACATGTTTTAAAAAAAAATGTTTTCACATGCAACTGGGAAATAAGAAATACAGGAAATGGGATACAGAAGTCATCCTGCCCTACACGAAAATAGAAGGGGAAGGGGTAAGAGGGGCGGGAGAGATAGAAGAGAGGGCAGACTAGGGGAAGGGGTATTCAGAATGCATGCCATCTTGGGGTGGGGGGAGGGGCCAGATGGGGTGAAAATCTGGGACTCAAAATCTTGTGGAAGCAAATGCTGAAAACTAAAAATAAATAAATAACCAAATTTCACAGAGAACAGCTACAAACGTAGGAAGCAAGAACGATGAAGGTATGCAGAAGCTGACCGGAGACCACAAAACACACGGCCTCAGTTATACACACAAAATACACAAATACGGCAAACAATATTTTAACGCTGGGCAACAAATCTGACCTCACACATATCATGGAAGATTGACAGGATAGGACCCATTATTACAACGTGGCCCTGGAAGGGTAGGCCTTACTCAAATAAAACAGGAGAGGTAAAAAGAGAGGCAGTAACATTGTACATGAAAAAGATTCACTCGGGTGAGGAAAGCTGGGAACCAAAGGGCGGAAGCTTTGTGGAGAATATTTAAGTGAAGATAAAGAAAAGCATCAATAGAAGTGACGTTGTCATCAGGGCCCAGGGGAAACCACCTGGACAGAAAAAGGAAACAGACAAATAGATGAGTGTGGG